GTCAACCATATGTGATATAGAAATGACTCGTTTAACATTTTGCTGTCATTATGACAATCATTATGATAATGATAGACATGGACTTTATCGTTATTAGCCTTAATTAATTTAATACGATGAGAGTATATAATTAAAGACATGAATTTGTGTTATGACATAACCATGTGAAATAGAATTTTAAGTAATTTAGTGGGAACGCAAGCTTTTATTATTTAATGATGTCATGATTTTCAATAATGGATGATGTCATCGTTTTTAACGGAAGTGGAATAGTGTTAGCCCCTAGAAATGTTGTGTCACACATGAACTTTGTAGTATGATGACGTTCAACCTACTGACTCTACCATTGACAACACTCGCTCGCATTGATATTTTATTACATAACATATTGTATATTAGGTATGAGTCTATTGTCGGGACTGCAAGAGGTACAAGTACACTAATTTTAACATGGTTAAAAATTAAGCTTAGCTGAATTTTGAGGAAATGTATCATTGGTGTTTGCGAATTCTATGAATAGATAGAAGTAACTAAATTGAGAAATCTTTTAGGAATCGAGCGTAGACATATTTTTCTTGGTTTAAATAGTTTTATTTGTTTGGTTGTTGATATCATGATAACTATATGACGAAAGGGTGTATACAAACTTCAGTATTTTCCTGCGCTTTAGGATGATGACACTAGTTATTATTATTATGTTGTTATGTCGTCATCATGACAAAGTAAAAGATGACGACTAATTTTTTTCTGCAGGAGCAAACGACAAAAGGCTGTCGACTATAAAAAAGACTCCCTCAGAGGTGGGCGGGTGGGTTCATATAACTATGAGTTAAAATCCCCCGGAAAGATCTTCATAAAATATTACTGTAAACGTGTATTTGACGGTTAATGTGAAAAATTAATTAGGAATAGAACGACTCTAATGGCGAATAGGTATCAAGAAAAAGTCGAAAGAAGTTAGTAATGTGCCCAGGTGATGGCGATGGAAATATACCTTATGTGAAATACAATAACATACTACCAATTAATCAATCGGCTGACTTCAATTGATCAATTTTATTGGCAATAACCTGGGCAATTGCGTCAGAGGAGGTTCCAAATATGGTATATTAATATACAAATTCAGTTAGCATATTACCGCAAATAAGCGTCTGTTTTTACATCAATTGTACTTCTTCAACTTCAAGTTCGACTTCAACTTCAAATTCAACTTCATATTCAACTTCAAATTCAACTTCAAATTGAGAAATTTGAATAAGAACAAAGGTTGTTTATATAGTTTCAGATTTTTGTGGGATATTTCTTTCGGTTTATCACAATATACGATTGCAGTCGTTGGATGATATTGCAATTAATAATCAGTAGGTTAACTATGTGTGGCGATTACCGTTTACGTGGTTCCGTCGGCGGAGCCTTGCAACCCGCCTAACCCATGGGCGTGCATTGTCAGCGAACCAATCACATCCGTCCTGCGCCGAAATTCTACGCCGATTTTCATTCACGTGCCCCCAGCCCTCATTCCCGCCATCCACTGCGCGGATACTAACTATAGTTGCGGATACTTGTCATTAAAACAATCTGTTGCACTTGTCCCAAAAATCGTCAAATCGGTTATTTTATAAAATTACATTCCTGCCTACTTTTTTTTGTTGAACAAAAATGATTTCTGTTCTTACGACTATCGTGTATATCATCTCTGTGGTAGATGAAACATATAACAACAAAAACACTCAAAAAGGTGTAGCAATTTCGAGAACTGATACGGAAGACGGATATCAGATTTACAAGTTTATTGCTTATACGGCTTCTGGAAATGATTTGAATACAAACAATACTTCATGTGAAATTACGCAACGACTACAACAAAACAAAATTTATCAAATTTCAGGAAAATTTATGCCACTTAAAGGCAATTCACTTAACGTAATTATTACAACAAGTATACGGCTGGAGATAGATGAAGACAACGCACCCATTTCAAAACCAATCGCACATTTAATTGGCACCACTCTTAATAATGCCGAAATTACCAACGCTGGTTATGCTTTATTGACACAAGTAAAGCCTTATTTGTCTAAAGACCTGTTCCAGCCATACACAGCCATGTTAACTCATCCGCTTTTTTTGAAATATAAAACTTCCCATCAATAGTAAGAAATATATAAACTAAAAAATAACCTTTCATCCCACCATTTCACAACTATCAAATCAAACATGTTCATCCATTTGCATACAACAACAGCACTTATA